TATTAGCATAGCATAATCATTAAGAATTACAAAACACAAATTATGCATAAAGCTAATTCCAAAAACATAAACATAAGCCACAAGATGAATTTCGAAGACATCAATTTGGAGAATAAAAGAAAGGAAGAATGTCCTTCTGCTATCTGCAGGCTTTATATGCATATTATTACACGATTACAAGGATTAGCACCTTTGTTAGCTCGTGCTGATAAAGCACTCTTTGTTAGCATACATTGGTAAAGCGTTTTGTTAGCTTAAGTTAATGTAAGGCTCTTATAGTACATTGCTAAACAATGAGCACATATACAATTCTACGCGATGATAGCACCATACTCATACAGAAAAGACTTTGGATGATTTTTAATCTTAATCATGACCCAACATGGAGGATGCAAATTAGTACATCACTAAACATTCATTTATGATTCTTTTATATTTTTCATTATCATGAAACTTCTTCACGTTTATTCACAACAATATTTCCCTTATCATTTCTAATGGTATTACAAATGAAAAAAAAAAAACGTTGTATGTTTACATATGTTATAATTCAATTTATATATTTCAGCCAATTTTTGTAAAAATCATCAGCATCTGAAAGAGTTTTTATCTTTTTCATCCTATAGTTGGGAAATTTTAATCTGTAAGAAACAAATGATTTTTAAAAAAAATCAAATCGATTCGATGAAGGTCATGAGGTCACACCAAGAAATTATTTATTGTTTGATGTAATATTAATATACTGTATGCAAAAAATTACTTATATTAGCGAATATAATTCTTACCGTTCAAATTCAATTTTCTTCTTAGAATGTATTTCTTTTTTTTTTTTTTTAAAATAATTGCCAAATTATAGGATACGATTGGATTTTTCAACAATTTATGATGTTATTGTTTCAAATTTATTCCTTCATTATTTAGAAACAGTAAGTACATTTTCAAGTATTCGAATACTAATCAAATCTTAGATTTATTTTGAGTCATTAATACTTAAAATTTAATTTCAACCATATTTTTTAGTTACAAAGAAAAAAAAAAAAAAGAAAAAAGAACTTCAGCATGGTATAACAATAGAAATGTATCATCCACGTGGTACCGATTACGTACTTACCTCAGTTGGTGTTATTTCATTGAAACGTTTAATTAACGTGAATGAATCATACAACGGTATACTTCATATGAAATCTATACGTGATGGCAGTTTATTTGCAACAATCGAATATGACATTAACATTAATTCTAAAATGATTAATGCATTAATTTTACAAAAAGTACGTAATACATGACTTTTGATCATTAATTGTATTCATTAATTGAATAAAATATTCTTTTTTTTTTTAAATTAAAAAATTCTTTGTAATTTTAGTTTGAATTATGTAGTATTTGAAAAAATCAGAAATACAAAAAATTATTTCAGAATTAAAATTTTATTAAATTTCAAATTATAATTTTAATTAATAAAATTGTTTTATAGAGAAAATTAACTGTTGTAAGTTCGGGTGCATTAACAAATATTGATGAATCCATCGATCATTCTATGTACAGTGTACTAATTATTGATATTCAACGTTGTGCTAATCTTGATAAGCTTATCAATGGTAATTATGCATTCATTTTTATTGAAGAAGAAGGAAGAAGGAAGAAGGAATCCTATAATCCTTCTGAATCCTACTATAAACTTTCATTGAAGTTTTTAATTCTATTATGTATTGGTCTTTTTAAATTTTATCAAAAATTTATTTCAAAATTTTTATATATATTTTATATTCAATTTTTAAAATTTTTATTCCATTTTACACCGAATATTACTAACAAATATCTTTCATTTTTTGATAATTTTTCTGATAACATATTCGATATCAATTTTAAGAGATAATTTATATATTCAGATAATTATGCTCCAACAACTTTGATTTCATATGAATTGTATGATTGTGATGTATGGCAAAGTGAACCAATACCAAATAATATTAATCCGGAATATAATTCCGTAAAGACATGGGTTTTACCAAATGGAATCGATCTATACAATGTTTTACGTTCATCAGTAAGATTTAAAAGGCATTTTTATTTCCCTTTATCCCATTACCTGAATGAAATACATTTGACATTAGCAATTAAAGATATTGTGATAAAAAAAAAAGGCTTATCGAAATTCACAATAGGTTAAAAAAAGAAATTTAATAGCATTAATATGCCTCTTTGGTTGTTTATTTTGCTTCATACAAATTATTTAATTATTTGCAAATTTTATAAATCATTTTTGTGACTAAATTTTGGATTAATTAAATTTAGCAAATTTGTGGAAAAAAAACTTTGTTGAAAATGATTTTTAATATTTAAGAATGATTTCTTAATATTTTATTAAAAAATATTTTTAATATCCTTTTTTTCTGAAAAATAAATTCTTCATTTTAGTATTTAACAGTAGTTATCTTGGAGAAACAAATCAATGACGTACGTCAAATCGGTTACGTCAATGTCGCACTTTATCCACTTGTCCACAACAATGAAATTTCCGGAACGCTTCCTCTTCTTTCGGTTAGTCGTAATGTAACGTATAAATTCAGCATTATTTGAATACAAAGCCTGCTTACTAAGTGTTTCTGAGGAAATTATAATTTTCTACAGTGTAAAAGATATCCTTAATGTCACCATCATTTGCAGATGATAAGTGATTCACCAACAGAAGCATCAATTGATATTTTAATACGGTGGAAATTTCCTTATCATCCTCCTGAACAGGAATTAGAATTGACAAATATAGAAGTATTGTCACACAATCTTTTCTTATTAATATTGAAAAAAAAAAATTGAAAAATTTGAGATTTATTTGTCAGAATTTTAGAAAATTATCAAAGTTTAACATATATAAATCATTACTATTTTAAAGTCAAAGTTCATTGTACTTTCACTAAGGAACATATAATAGTAAATAGCTTAATTAATTATTTTCAAATTTAAAATTCAAATCACAATATTTACATTTCTTTTCTCTCTCGAACACCTTTCAATTAATTTCAGGAAAATGCAAAAAGGATTAATGTATTGCCGGACGGAAAAGTTTTGAATGGTTGGTCTGATTTGAGGGATAGCTCTAATGATAATGAGGGAAATGCAAACAAGAATGAAATCAATGAAAAAGCCTATGAATTAGAAGAATTGTCGCGGAACTGTCGCAATAATGAATCATTTAAGTAAGTTTGATAAGAAATCATTGTGAAGAGCAAAAAAAAGAAAGGAAAAAAAATGGAAAACGTTAAAATTTGAATAATCTGACCTGAAATTTTTAATTGTTTATATTTGAATAATCAAAAAATAAATAAAATTTTAAATGCCTTTCTAACAATTTTGTATTATTTCAGTACGGAATGCCCGCAGCAGTCATCAATTGCAAATGATCCATTTGTTACAACAAATGAATATTTTAAAGTTGAAAATCTCCATTTCAATTTGGATT